CGTTATGCGAAAAGTTCGTTATGTGAAACTTGCTCCTGGAACGAATTAAGTTCGTTGTGTGAGGCACCACTGTACTATCTTATAATATAAAGACATATACATTATTTATAAAAGTTAATAAATAGTTTTATACTCGTAGTAAGCAAAGATAGATAAATTACGCCAATCATGACTTCAGTTATTAGTAGTTCAATATTCAAACATACTTTTCTATATTAAAATTGAAATTTTGTATTATTGCTAAAGTGGAACCAGTGTTTTTTTACACATGACAGTCGAATATACGTAGAGATAAATTGCATAACAATTTGTTATAATTATTCGTTGTATAATATTTTATTTACAACATTTTATACAACATTTTATATACAACATTTTATTTTGAGTAGTTTTAATTTAAATTTAATTAATAAATGTATAAAACTTAACATGTGTTTTTACTTTAAGTTTTTAACACTAAACTTCACTACAGTTAGAAATTTACAAAAATCAATATCAGGTAAGTAGAGGGTCTTCCCAAAACTGAAAAACATGGCAAGGGGTCTACGACACAACAAAGTTTGGGAACCTCTGTTCTAGCACCTTTAGGAAAATCGTAACAGGTGATAAATCTTTATTATATATGTAGGACCCGCAAACCAAGCAGCAGTCCATGTTATGCAGAGCAGAAGAACCTTCTGCTCTGCATAAAAATAAATCACCCAGTTAAAGCAAAACAACAAAAATCAGCAAAAAATGTTTTATCCCACTGGAAACTGGTCAAACGCTAACTACTAAGTGATACACAGAAACCACAAGCTTTCAAAAAAATGTTGCGAAACCAGAAAAAAGGAGAACTTCGTCGCTACTTTATACATCACGATAATGTGCCCACTCACACTGCTGAAAAAACAACTTTCGCCCAGTGCCTGGTGACGTGATTTCTGGCTGTTTCAAAAAAAAAATTGAGAGGAAAAGTCTTTAGGTCCAATGGGATCATTAATGTTGAACTTCAAAAGCTCCAAAAAGCCTTGAGGAATGATTTGAAAGGTGGCTCTACCAACTTAAGAAATGAATTGAAATAAATTCAAATTTTGTAGAGAAATTATAAAATGAGGCGGAAAGACTTAGGTCGATAGCCCTTTGGTTACCATTGGTGACTAATAAAGATTTTTTATTATTATATAAAATGATCAAAATTAAAAATATTATTCCTCCTAATGATCTCCTTTACTCCAAAACCAAAACAATCTCTCCCTCTCCTTCAAATTTAAATCCAAACAATCCAACATCCCTTCCCTCTCTAAATTATGTTCTCCTTGAAACTCAAGTATCCATCCCAAATTTAAATATCCCACATTATCCCTTGGACAATACCTAATGTCCCTTATTAAAACATAATTTTTTTTTCATGTCATTAAATTTATGTTCCTGGGCGGAAAAATCTCTGTCAATAGTCCTTTGGCCAGCCTGTTAATTATTTTTTGTTAATTTATGTTAGAATTTTGGTTCCTATGAAGAAGTGGTTTCCGAAACTGAGGCCTCTATTTTGAGAACAAAAACAAATCGTTTTACAAATAAGGCATCAAGGTGAGTATGTTGATGAAATAAGTCAAATTTAAAAAAAATCTTAGTTGCTTTCTCAGTTACTTTAGGTAGCCCTCAAAACCTTTTGTTTTCTTTGGCAACTATTTTTCTACTCTGCACCTGAATAGAATGTCGAAATATCCGTTTGAATCGTCAAAAGTATTATCAACAAAATCTTTTATTTTCAATTTGATACAATCAATGATTTACTTGTTGTGCGTTGGGTCAACAATAATGTAGTTAACATTACAAATTATGATACCGTCCAGCCTTACATGAAGTAAAAAGGTTGTCAAAAAAGAGACAAACAGGTGCAGTTCCTCAGCTTTAGCTTTTAAAAAATTATAACAAGAGAATGGAGATCAGTGTGTGAACACTTATCGTATTGCTATTCGTGCAAAATGGTGGTGGCAAATACAACTTCTTTAATCCAACCAATGTATCAAGGCATGCTTTAAAATATAGCAGACATTCCGACAACTGATTGATAACACCGCTGGAGAAGATAAACAATCCATTAGAAATTTTTGGAAACACTACAATATCATGGATGCTGCAGACCAGTGATTCTCAAAATTTTTGGTCCGCTACCCCCTTGCGTACTTACAAAATTTAAAGGTCTCTCCGAAGAATGGGTATGTGTATAAAAAAACATGCCACGAATTTTTCTGCGACCCCCCAAATATTTATAGCAACCCACACTTTTAGAATTAAAATTATCAAACGTTGACCAGTCCGCTGCGATAAAAAGGTTGGTTGCGGTTCCCCGCGTTAAGCTAGGTTGTTGTGTCCAACCATTATTATTGTAATTGTTATTATTAGTATAGTGTATTAACGAACTAGAGACATCCAAAGCGTCTCTTAGTCGCATTATTATATAAAACATATAGCATAAAGGAATCTCTACCGTGACCTATCGAACACTTTAATATAAACAAAGGGGACCAAGCGTAAACATTCCCATCGATACTACTCCTATACCTTTATACAGAATTCAAGTCTTATTATAAACACATAAAGATCGTTACATGTACAATCGTAATCGATCATCTTTTTCATATAAACAAATGCATAGGAATGCCGGTCTATAATAAACAAACCATCACAAGGCCGAATTCCCGTGGGAACGCTTAATCATCAATATAATACAAACCTCTCCTCACAACCCACCCCGTATTAATAAGAATTAACTTTGTAAGTAGAATAACTATTTAGAATTAGTCTCAGTAAAACGTTAATATGATGAGCATAGTCTCAGTAAAACCTTAGATATAGATGACATAGTCTCAGTAAAACCTCAAAGATAACTGTAAGTAGAATACTTTAGATAGTTATAACGTTTAATGATGAGCATAGTCTCAGTAAAACCCTCAAAGACTGACATAGTCTCAGTAAAAACCGACCTAGCAGAGAACTTTGAACATAGTCTCATAAAAACCTAAGACGAGCATAGTCTCAGTAACTAAACGACCAAGTAAGAATAAAGTTATGTAAAACCAACGAATTTCATTAATTCCAACAACTGAGACTCCACAACGACAACACCAGACAATATTCCACCAGACAATATTCCACTGTGTCCAGAATTCCATCCCTGGGACACGACAAGGTCTTACTGCATATAATTGATTTAATGAACTTTAATTTGTAAAAAAGTTTTATTGACACTACAAAACCAAAAATAATGCAAAAATAAGACTAAAATAAATTTCAAATATGTGAAACTTTTAAAATAACAACTATAATTATCCATAGTTACATAGAAATTATACAAACCGCCGCCAATATAATTCTTTTTTTTTAAATAAATGTATTATTTACAATATGCCATAAGCTGGCAACGAGTAAATAGTTTTGAAACAAAATATAACAATGAACGGAACAGTTTATTAACACTGCCTTATATATAAATTTTATTTTCTAGTGATAGTTGTGATCTTCTCCCAAACAACCAGTATAATTAAGTGAATTTGATTCCTAGGTGCTTCCGTCGCTTCTTGCATCATGAGCTTCAGTGATAACATTATTATTTAAAGTTACTGGAGGATAGGTTCCTTTCTTAGAGTGAATGTTACGTGACTTGATTTCGTTTCATTAGTTTTAATTCGTCATTTTTGTAACCATTTTTCAATTTCGGTCAAGCAGTTTTGTATCAATTTCTTTTTAAAAATGAACGAATTTCTGAATGAAATATTTATGCAAGCATAACAATAAAATTAATTTCATGGAGCTTATGAAAACTTGTATAAATAACACAAAGGAAACAAATAGCTTGTAAAAAAATAAAGTAAACCTATCAATTCTAGGTTAAATTTATTTATATTGTGCTTAATATGCAATGTTGAATTTTAAGTTTCAATCATTTTAAAGTCGGCTTTTGTTAGGCCAAAAATATTTCCTTTTCATATTTCCTTAGTCGTAGACGAACCGTGTGTTTTAAGTAATAACTATTCGACTAACAGAATTAATTGAAGACAAATGAACTATGGCCCATCCACCATTTCATTGAATACCGCGCCTTTAAAGCAAATCACAAATTTCAAGGACACACGACAATAGAATATAATAAAATATAAAATCCGTGGTCTGGAAATATTATTTGCAAACTAATGCGTATTCTTCTGCGTCGCTGTGTGACCAACCAATCCATATGCACTTGGAATGGTGTCTCTTATTACAATGTATTTTTTGTAGAAAGTGCACACGAAACAAATAAATAATACTATAATGATGTATATATTATTTCGTATCTTTCAGCAATTTATAGTTTTTATATAATTTCACTTGTTTGGTAACATGCCACATATATTTTATTTTTTCATAAATACTGTGACATGCACTTGTGCGTACTCGTATGAAAAGACAAATGCAAAATGGCAGAAATGGCAAAGAAATACTAGAGCTTGTTTCAGTTTCACGCCACAAAAACATTTTCTGATTGGTTGAAACACTTCACACGATTTTCACAACGTTGCCAACCTAAAAAAATCGATATGCATCGAATTACTCATATTTATAATTGTTACTATAAAAATACTTGTTCTAAACAATAGTACTGAAATAATTTCTCAAATCTGAAATGCAAACTATTATTACTTTACCAATACTATTATATTAATATGTCAATCAAGTCAACAATGAAACACATTTATTTAATTTAAAAAGGGGAATATTTATTTAACATCATTCAAGTGGTAAATATTATAAATTATTTCATGTTTGCATTTAATTATTTTACATAGATTTAGTGGTTTGAATATTATTAGTACATGATCACATAAAATATGTTCAATTCCAGAAAATTAAACTGCATGGAATTAAATTTGTTTCTTTATATTTATCATATAAAATAACTAACAAAAAAATCTCACTCGACGATGGTATATTTAAGTATGAAATAATTGATAAATTTGAAAAATGTTCATCATAGTGGTATTATTTTTTAGTGTATATAATTATAAAAAAAAAAGTTTTTTTAGGGAGGATTAGAGTACATCACACAACTTATCATTTTACAAACATGATCAACAATTAAATCAAAATCCAAGAAAATTAAATTTCTTATAAAGCAGTCTTATACATAAATAAAATTCATCTTAGGTCAAAAATCGCAAGTGGCCAGTATTTGTGGCAAACACTAAACCCTCGCCGGAGTTTGGCATCCATCGGATGCAATTCACGCTCATGTAGTTCGTATCCCTATTCTGTTCAAGATCCCGAATGGGTGTCATTTTACCATACTCATTCTTTTCTAATTTGAATATCCTAGCCATTGTCCATCTATCTGAGGGCATTATAGATACACGACGTGATGCCAAACCAACAATTAAATGTCTATTTAACGGAGATAAAGATACCGAGACAGCATTCTGTTCAAAATTGGCTAAGTATAAACACTGCCCTAATGTTTTCCAATCCAAACTGTAGACTCCTATTACACACACAAAATATATTGTATATTACAATAAATGCAATATTTGTATAACACTCACCTAGTCTATTGGTTATATTCATATAACCACCAGACGGCAGGAGCGTAACTAAAATAGTGCCATTTGTAGCGTAATCCACGCTGGCATCATTGTGAATTTTACATTCACGTACGACTACATTCTTCGTGGCTGAAAATAATGAATAAATTTAATTTTTTGTTTATGTTAGTCGCCATTTCATATTTTGCTTATTTCATGTAAAGTTTATAATATATTAATACACACCCTCCCTTATATTTGGAATGTTGTCCTTTGAAAATTCCCATACTTGAATCCTGTGATTAGGCGTTACTGTAGTTATAATGTCAGTATCATAAAGGTGATCCCTGTGATCATCCCAGTCTGGCTCAAATGGGTTAATTCCTCCTGTATAAAGAGGATGCAGGAATCTCGGCCTAAATAAACCACCAGTTGTTCTCAATTCATCCAACCTCTCCGACAACCGCTGTCTGTTTTCCACAAACCTAGGGTGCCAAGGGGAATTCTGTGGTTCCATAAGTGGCACATCATTTACTTGTACTATTGGAACATTCCAACCCCTATTATTCGCTTCTGCCGGACTGGATTCCTCATTATTTAATAAATTTACATTACTTGTTCGATAAAGCGTCCGCCTTAACCTACTATAACTAGCGCGGGCATTTATAGTATTTTCGTCACTACTATCATCTATTGCCGTATGTGTAGTAGTTGGATTGCCACTGTCGCGGTCCGCAATCCTTGAGATCATATCATTTATAGTTCTAAACCAGCTTCCCTCTACTGAATTTTCTCTATGGCGCCTTATGTTTCTCAAACAGTTATGTATATCATCTAATAATCCCTGTCTGCTATCTAAGTCAGTATCATTTGACGGCAACATTGCATTTCTTCGCGCTGTATATGTCTGACCCAGTGCGAGCGTGGCGTGTCGTACAGTTAATCTCAATAGACGCAAACTACGTGTTAACTGTTGAGATTGACTTGATAATCTATTCTGCAACATCCTGCTGCACATCTGATCTATTCTCAAAGAAAGGCTTTCTCGTTCCGGATCTAAATTCATCCCTGTTGGCGGCGGTATGGAATCGACAATTTGCAGCAGAAGAATTTCAGAAAGCAAAAGAGACAACTCAATCACTTCCCAAATTTGAGATCTCACGTTGGCGTTCATATGGGGGCTTGAGTTGTATTCCATATGTCTACTGAGACAATCGACAATAGAACTTAATGCTTGTCTTGCTCCAAATCTGGAAGTCCCATCGACGTTTACACTCGAAATTTCATTACGATTTACATCTTCATTAATTCCTAAAAAAAAAAAGTTAATTAAAAATAAATACGATAGTTACTTATTTACCTAAAAATACGTTAATTCTTTGTCTGCAATTATTTAATCGCAACATCATCATGTGCTCCGCTACATCTGATCTTAAAGTAGAGCCAGCATTTGGTGGAATTATTGTCCTACCAATGTACCTCCCATGTTCCATTAAGTAATGTTCTAACCTACGTGTCATCGATGGCAATGTTTCTGGATTAAATAAATTAGATATCGCTGTTCGATTTCGTGGAAAATCTGGCAGAGACGGACGAGTATTAGCACGTGTTGGTAAAAAACGCCTATAAATATTTCTTCGTATAACCCTCTCCTTAGCCGTAGTCCTACGGTTTCCCAAAGGTATATTATTACGACGATTGTAGTGACGATGCATTAGGAATAAGCACCTTGGATAGGGTCTTCTTGCTCTACTTCTATTATTATTATTAATCTGTTGAGATTGGTCATTTTGGACATTTGTCCTTTCACCCCTACTAGTAGAAGGTTGTGGCTGAGGTTGTGGTTGGGTTTGTGATGATGTATGAGGTTGAGGCTGTAGTTGCGTTTGTAATTGAGTCTGTGTTTGAAGCAATCCTTCATCAGTCGGTGAATCGTATGGACTAGAGTCACTTATTCGAGTACCAGCCATCATTTGCCTTACACTTGAGACACCGATCCTGTTACTATCAGACGAATTCACACTAAAATGTCTGTGTAGTTCATCAAACATTTGACGCATCATTTGCAATTGGGCAACCTCAAGCATTGCTCTATCTATTCTTTCAATACTTTCAACTTGTGATCTCAATAATCTCGCTTGTCTTTGGATATGCGAAACCGTTAAATGCAAGGAAACCATCAACGGCGACATATTGGCCGTTTGTGGGTTTTCTGGATTTAACGGGTACGTATGATCCGAATTAATTGGGTTGCCTGAAGACAGGCGGCGAGTATCCATATCTTCCGTCCACGGCGTCTCACTTCTCATGATCATTCCAAGAGTCCGCAAAGATCTGTACCATCTTGGCAATCCATCCGTGTTGCTACTATTGTTTCCATTTGTTTCATTACTATTTTCGTTATTATTTGAATTAGATGGCAAACTATCCAGAGTATTAGTGAGATTTCTTAATATTGCATTTGACTGTGACATAATTGTATCCAACCTTTCAGTGAAACTGGTCAACACACCAGAAGTTTCATCGAGTCGATGATTAGCCCTTATACTTCTTACATCATTTAAACTGGATTCCAACTCGTGCACTATATTCGAGTACATAGAACCAATGCCTACATTTTCTGAATTAATTGATATTTCGGGCGGAGGATCAAATGGATGGTAACTTCTTTGGGAACTCTCGTCCTCGTTAACACGTTCAGAATAGTTGATAACTTCGTCCTGTGCAAAGTTTTGAGACCGCGATGAATCGGGGGGCTGTCCAAACAGAACATGGAAATTTGTATATGGCACAGAAGATGTTCGTGGTGGAGGCGTCAATCGTGTCGGATAAAATGCTGATAAGCGGTGCGAAAAAAACTGTCTGCGTGGAGGATCCGATTGAATTGAAGTATTAGGAGTATTAGTATTATTATGATCAATTGGAATTGAAACAGAACCTATTGATTCATCAACTCCTGATAAATCTATATGAATTCTAACTGTATCGTTTGAATTTCCATCCGTCATTCCAGCATACGAATGTTCATTGGGTGTAGTACTTTCTGCATATGAATGATCTGTCCCGCTGCTGTTGGTGTTGTTTGGTACCGTGGTGTTTATGTCGTTTAAAGAGAAATCTATTGGCGTGTCCAATGGATCCGAATGGGAGCAGCTCGATTCAGGACATATATGAGATTTTTTACTTTTCACTTGTTCCTCGTCAGAACTTCCCATATCGGAAGAAGAATCCAAAATCGGTCTTCTATTAATCTTCTTGTGCTGAGGATGTACACGTTTTCTTGATACTCCGGCCAAGGGATCGTTGGTACTAGTCCCCTTAGAAGGTTTACTTTTGTTAATACTGGAACTCGATGTAGCATCAGCAGATGCAGAAGTGGAAGGTAGATCAATACCTTGAAGATCTTGGAGATTCTCTCTAAATTTAGTTATCATCATTTCTGCATTTCTTATTAAGACAGAAATATTTTCACTAGTGTTGCCTGAATTATCTAGAGAATGTACAAGAGCTTCTATGTCGGGTTGCGTACTGGTTGAGGGCAAATTACTTGGTGATGGTATTCGTCGTCTTGACGATGGTAATGATGAAACTGATGCGGATGATGCATCGCTACTACTTAGATTGTTCATGTTATTTGCTAGCTCTCGCTGTGTCGACGCATTGACAGAAGTTGCTCTGTTAGTGGAATTGGATGACTTTGCACTTGAGCCACCATTATTAGTATCTCGTGATGAAGTACCATCATACTTTCGTTCATCACCATAAGTCTTTAATCGCTCGTTTAATAGTTTTTGTAGTGAAAGGTAGGTGCTCTTTGGCGATTTATCATCTTCATCTGAAGAGCTGCTGCTATCGGTCAGAAAGATAGGACCGTTGCTAATATTAGAAGTACTAGGAGATAGCAGTCTACTCAGACTTTCCAAGTGGCTTGAGGACAAACTTGCTTCTATATCATCGCAAAGTCCACTCGTCGGAGGCTGATCAACTGTCTGAGTACTGCTTATTGTTTTATTCGCTTGTTCTTTCAATCTCTCAGCCTTGAAGAATCTGCGAGATTTGTTTTTAGCAGGTAAAGTAGCACTAGATTTTCTCAAATTTTGACTGGTCGATGGTTCGCTAGAACTGCTAGGCGTTGGTTGAGTAGACGTAGATGGCTGAGGTGAAGATGTGCTTGCAGTTGTTGAAGTATGTTCCATTTCCATGGGATCAGTTCCTTGGTCGATCTGTGGTGAAGTATTTCGTATAAAATCTTTGCTATTGATAAAGTACAAAGTTACAAACCATAACTGGTGGCCTATAAATTTGTAGATATCTATGCACCAAAACTTCGTATTGTTGGACCAAATCTCTATAACATGTAGTAATTCGTCTTTCTCTTTCCGGCACACTAGATAATAATGGTTCACGCACGCCTGTTGGCCGAGGAGGAGGAGGAATACACTAAAATTTTAAATATATACCTAGCGTCATACAAATTATAAAAAAACTAATTGTTTACAGTCATATATCGAGGAGTCGGCATTGCGGGCGGTGGAACATTCGCATTTGGTAAATTTGTAACAAGTCTAGGTGTTATTCGTCTCCTGTATGGACTATACGGATTGTCTGCAGGTCTTAAAACGGGAACTGGAGCTCGTACACGTTCCCATCTAGTCTGCGGACTGTTCGTAATTCCAGTAATCAGTTTATGTCCCAATTGATCAAAAGCTACATATCGCACTTTCTCTTTGGCACTGCTTGTGGAGACGTGCATGAACGGCTCTGGTTTGCTCCAATCCCAGAAATGGAGCTCATTATATGTAGCTATCACTAATAATCTATCATCTGGATGAAATGCAATGGATGCTATCACTGTTTGACTCTCTACAGTCCATACCTCACTTCCACCCTAGAAATATAATAATACATTGTAGTATGTAGACTATAATAGTAAATTAACAAATCTATTATTTCCTATATTATCAGAATACAGGAGTATAATTGAAATTATATTCCATAAAATTTAATAATATCATTTTTCAACTACAATTTTTTTGTAAACATTTTATTTATATTTAATTAACTTACACTCAGATCCCATATTCTCACTTGACCACCAAGACAACCAGAGCCAATAATTTGATTTGAAGATGGATGAAAAGCAATGCACCATGGTGTTCGTGGATGTCCTACTAATGTCTTTATATGCTTGCCAGTACGGACATCACTAACATAGATGTTATGATTACCATGAGTAGAAGCTACTTTAGTACCATCAGGACTAAAAACCATAAGAAAAGTTGATCTTGGCATGCCAGGCATTTCACATCGCTAAGAAACAAAATACAAAAATAGACTGTACACAGTAATTCAACATAATGCTTCACCAGATTACCAATTCCTTAAATTGTTTCTTAATAAGTTCATCCTCAGCCTTTGCTTGCATGTGAAATTTAGTTTTGTGTGCACCATTGCGTATGCCCAGGTTTCGCTTTGAAATTGAATTAAAAAATTCAAGATTGTTTTTAGTGTTGTTTACTACATTTGGTATTTTGATTATCTTCTGATTAAAATCATCATCATCCTGATTCATTTTGTCACTCTCTCAGACAACTTGTAAACACATAACCTGTTAGAAGATAAATATATAAATATTATAATAAATGTGTGATTTGTTTATAAGTAGAAGTTTGCTAATGGTATTGCTGTTGTGCTTGCTTCTATTTATGTTGAAACTATTTGCAGGGTTGTTGTAATACACTAATTATTGGTAAGCATTTTGGTTGTTGGTAATTTGTGTTTCTAAAAATAGAAACTGCAATTAATTAGATATGGAATAGGTTTTGAAAATAAACAGCGGGATGGGCAGAGGTCGTTCAGAACACAAGCAATTGCTGCAGACTATTACAATAATGCCATAAGTACCTGAACCTTGCATCAATGTATCTATCCTTAGCCCGCTATTCGAACCAATAGCACTTATAGATCCAGTAACCGCTACTGCGAAATACCAGCCAATAACTAGACTTTACTCCACTCTAACAACGCTCAACGCTGCAACTGACTGTAACACTCACCCAGCTGATCGACGACGCTAAAAGATGTTGGCTATTGGCTTCCACCCAAAATTGGACTCGTTGCACTGCTTCTTGATTCCTTTTCTCACTAACGTCGTTAAATCGAAAGGACCCTTTGATGGTATTTCACTAGCCTGATGTAACACGTCTACCTAGTTTGTGCTTCAACGACTGTCAAATGTCAAGTGAACATTGAGTGCAATTTGGCCGGGTACGTGCATCACCGCGCATATCTGGTCTGGTCCAGACTAACAACAAAAAAAATGCTGAAATTAGCTGGAACAAATTGTTTAAATCGATTAAACTCTAAGAGTTTGTCACTACAACTAAAGGAATTTATTATATATGGTCATTACTTAGTACTCAGGAAAAATAATTTCGTTTGATTTAGACCGGCCTATTAATATATGCATTTTGTTGGCTCAGCGATTAATAAACGCTGTTTGTAAACAGAAAGGCAATTAATAAATGCAATGCTCTGTAATTGTTCTTTATTGAATAATGGCATACATTTTAATTCATATTATGAAAATGCAATGCAATGTATCTGCACAAATAACTGTTCATGCATATGTATACATAATCAAATAATTATTATCTTTGTTTACTAAGTATTTGTTTTCCTAGTACATATTTCATTTTAAATTGCTGTACAATATGTTTATAAATTCCACAGTAACACCTCTTGATTTCAATATTTAAAGCTAAAACCTAAACAATGATTCATAACCTCAATCTGTTTTTAAACAATTTTCAGAGTTAATAAAAAAAATAACAATTATTCTTTGTTTATAATTATGTATTTGTTATTTTATAACTTCCTTAAAATATAACTATTTAACGTTTTCTTTATCAATGTTTATTATTTACAAAAGCCAATTGCATATGCAAATGAGTTATTACCATATTTTTTTTAATGGAACCAGTAAGTTTGATTGAATTATATTTAGAATAGTAACATACATAAATAATTAAAAATAATGACAACTGACTTGTTAATCAAATAATTTGTGTTTCAGATATTCTTACTTAGAACCAATATGTCATTTTCATAGTTCCATCTAGATCTTTCTGAGTATCCATAAAACTATTTTGTTTAGCTAGGCTTCGAACTGACCGCGTTCTATGTGCTAAGTTTCCGAGCGGCGTTTCTTCATCCTGCTCTTCGACTTTTAGATGATTCATTTCTAAATCCTCGTATTCATCGATCACTATTCCAGCAGGCCTGAAATTAAGAAATCATGGAAATCTTTAAAATAAACAAAATTATAAGACATTGTACCTTAGTGGTATACAACGAACGCAATCTTCAAATCCAAAGTCTTTCCCGAATTCTTCGCCTTCCTCAATGCTCTGAGGTAACTTATGATGCAGTGTTTCGGGTAGACGAAGAGATAAAACCCCTCCTATCACTGACACCATACCCATTATCATTAAAGGCAAAATCAGATTGTCTGAACCCTGAATATGGAGGATCGTAGATGTTATTACTTAAATAAAAATGTACACTGATGTACACATACCAAATACGTTATGAATGGTATTATGATTAGACCTAGACCACCAATATAAGAGGAAATGCCAATACCAATGCCTCTTATCTCAGTCGGATACAGTTCCCCAGAAAATGGATAAATTATCAAGAAGGCTGCAGCTATGGCAAATTTAGATATTAAATATAAAATCAATGTAGCAGTGACAGCATCTGAAAATATTTATTTCATAAAAAAATATTTTAAATATATTCATGTAATGCATTAAATTGCCTTGAGGAAGTAAAACAGTAGCGATGCAACTTATGCCACTTATAATCATAGAAAGGCACAAAGGCCACCGCCGGCCCCACCTATCAATTATCAACCAACACATTAAATAGCTAGGGATCTCCACTGCACACGACAAGGTGAAACTGAGGTACTGATTGTTGCCCAACGCTGGACCGTAATAGCTTAACCCGACATACACCATTTCAGTTGCAAACCAATTCAACGTTATTAATATTGTCTTAAGCCTCATATTCGGCGTTCGACATAATGAAAATAGACCAGGACCATTTCTAAGCTTTTCTTCTTCACTGTTACTTCTTTTCACCATCATTCGATGTTTCAGCTCTTGTTTAAAGCTTACAGGTAACTCCTTCTTATTTATTTCAGCTAATTTTTCTAGTATTCTAGAAGCTTCTTCAAATCTACCTAAATAAAAAAAGTTCATATTATCTGTTGATCACAATGCGATAAAGTTTTACCTTTAGTTAACAGCCACCTTGGACTTTCGGGTAAAAAAAATATATATACGTAATACAGAGAAAATGGTATACATGTGATATATGATAGAATAACCCAATCTCTTATCATATAGGTTATTCCGGCCAGTAAAATTATCCCCAAAGAGTAAAACATGCAAGTCATAACAGTGACAAATGATCTGAAATTTGGTCCAACTAGCTCTAATGCTGAAAATCGAGATTTATATCATTCAAAATATACCATTATTTTAGTTAACAACCTACATATTATAAATGGAATTTGATAAATAGCAGGAATTGTCAGTCCAACTATTGTTCTGCTCCCAGCCCACCACCAAAAGTTTTTAGCAGTTGCAGTCAAAATTCCTCCAGTTAACAAAGTGGTCAAACACATGAAAAAAGACTTTTTTCTTCCAATTTTATCATTTAGCCAACCAAAGAAGTAAACTCCGATTGGCCCACCCACATTTAAAGCGACCAAACCGAGCGTTGGATACAAATCTTTCTCGCATACTAAATCAAACTATTCTCTTTCATATTAGACAGTTAAGTACTATAAGTAACTACAACTACTCACATCTATAACGATACTTGACCAAATTTCACTTTTGTTGTATTCCCAACCATCTAAGCATGATTCTAGTTGAGACTCGTTTAGATGGTCATTATCAATATACGACCAATCGAGTTTGTATCTTGTGCACTTACTATGTCCATCGTTATATTGTGGAATACCCAATTGTATACGTTCGTGTACTGATATATTAGCTAACTGTGGTATCCAGCACCAGTGGTCCGGTACATCGGCCATAAATAATTGATTGAAGGCTCCAAATCCACATGGAAAACATGCAGGTAAGCAAACAAACCACAACATGCATTTCTGGTAAGTTCCGAATTCTCCTACTTGTGGTAATATGTCATCCAGATCCATAGGTTCCTGAAATATTTGTTAACATTAATGTGTAAGATTTACCTACTAAAACTACATAATATTCTTCAACAACAATCGTAAGTATCGTAGCAAAAATGCAATAAATATACACTTACATTGTGTTTAGATTCATCGTTGTGATCCATTTTCGGTGTTCTTTCTTACAGAGCCCGCAAATAATAACAGATGAAACATTGAAGCCATAGTAATAAATCCCCTTTATTAGATCAAGTCCTTAATTAATCGTTGACAATTGGGTCACGTACATCCAAATTTTTATTTCGAATAATATAAAAACACCTAAAAATAATGTAAATACAAGTAATATTAAATATAATTGTTATTACGCAATAGATTACAGTAAGTATAATATTTGCTTGTTTTACCTTAACTTCTTGGTCAACTGTACAGCTTAAACCTTAAAGATGCTTTCTGAAAGTTGCAATACAATTTTAAATTATTATATAAATTTTTAATACATATATTTTTTTATTTAACATATTTATTGGTCAATATTATTGACCAAAGGGCTATCGACCAAGTTGTTTCCGCCATAAAACATATATTTGTAAATTTTGATAGATTCCTCTATCAGTTTCATAAAAACCACCCATCGGTAATTAAAAAAAAAATGTAATTTGAATTTCTTGCACATTTTATTAAATGATTGGAAACATACAGAAGTACATTTTATAAATTGCAATTGATCCATAACTTAAATTTACAAACAGTAAATTAATGGAAAATTCAATGGCAAAGTCTATAATTCGGTTTTCTATGCATTTTTAATAAACCCATGTTCATATGATAAAAAGGTAAGTATATAATGCTTCTAAATTCCTCGTGGTATTTATTGAAAGCATTAGCATTGTAAAGAATGCCTGCATTATGCATTTCGCTAAAATATTTAGAATAAATATAAGTTATTAGAGAGCATATAATTACATTACATTAAAAACCTGAAAGAAAGAAGAAAAGATTTTTTTTTTCAATTTAAAGTTGAATTTATTTATATATCTGAACTACAATAAAGTAATCCCAATAAAAAATAGAAGAATAATGATTAAAGTAAACTGTGATTACGCTTCCATATTCATATTTTTCTGTATAAAGGGAGAATAATGTTTTTTTAAACAAAGTGCAGAAATTGAATTAATTATTAAATCTAAATACATCTTTTTTTGTTCATATAAGTGGTCATAGGCACCTAAACAGACATTGGTAACATTTCATCATAAAAGTATAGAGAAAAACATAATTTGTTGTATTTAAAGTAAAGTTTATACAACCGATGTTTAACAAGTCTGCACAGAAGAAATTCCCGAAAATTTGGAATGATTAAAAACTAATTATGAATAGAGAGAATAGAATAATGCACCTTGCATACAACAAACATACATCATTTGAGCATAATTTCAGTCTTACAAACACGCGCCATCCCTAAGATTTGCTGAACATCGGTAATATACATTCATTATTCATAAAGGGGGAGTTTTTCATTTATATATTTGATATCCACATTTTCCGAAAATAAAAGAAAAACAGGAACAAAAGCGAGATATATATATATTAAATAAAAATTGTAATTATGTTCTTTCCTCGTCATCAACAGACAAACTATCATATATAAGTTCATGGCACTCTTCTACAAACAAACTCGCATCAAAGTATACACAACCAGTATGTTTTTTCACTTATTCTAAACACATTTGTATATATATATATATATATTTAATAGATTAAACCTGCAATTTTTTCGTGTAAAATCAATATTAATGTACAGAATTAGTTTACAGTAAAATATTTGTATATAAAAAAAAATGTCTGGCCAATGAAACAAAGAAAACAAAATATAAATCTTTAAACTAAAACGTTGAAATAGAAAAATAGTGTTCTTTTTTAATTTTCTTTTAGACCTTCTTTATTCCTTTTATTTTTATTTCAAAACCTTTTTGTATATGAAATATAATTAAAAAAAACTATTTTCTTGTGAAATAAACATTCTTACATACAAAATAACAATCACACAGCCCTAACACTCGTACAGTACATAAAAAGAACAAAAAAATATTATCATACAGCCTAAGATTCTCATCTGCGGACATTCAATATTTGAAACAAATTTAATGAATTAAAATATACTAAATATAAAATGAAAGCAGTTGAAACATATATAATACAAAGTATTATTTTTCGGCTATTAAATGTCCGCAAATTCAAATTATCACACATACAGGAATTGTTTTGTTACAACCGTAATCCAGTTCAAATTACGATTATAAAAAAAAAAGATTGAGAAGGCTTCACGGACAATTAAATTACGTAAACCTAATGGAATCATAGCTTAAAGAAAAAAAAAACAAATCTTCACCTGAAACAAATTACATATAAAAAGTACAATATTTCATTTTCTTTTTGGCAACTCGCATTTGAAGCCTTCTCAAATCACAGATTTTTTTTTATAAATTTATATAACCTAACGTACCCTGAACCAGAGTTTATCTTCATATACAAAAGAAAACTCTGGTTGTTTTCTCAGCACACAACAACATGCATGCAAGGCACTCAATTGGCCTCACAAAAATTCATTCGCAAAAATATCACTCGCATATTTTCATCTTTTTTCACTTTAAATTTAAATTTGTATTATTTTATTCATCTTCATTTAATTATTCTCAAATTTTCCTGAGTTTATAATTAACTTTTAATTCCAACATGGAATTAAAATTATGGAATACATGTTGTGTGTAATTTAAATAAGAACATACAAAAGTAAAGATTATACGAGAAAGCTCTCCTGGAAAGACGTTCTCTGTTTCGTGGAAATATTAAAGAAACGCCAAACACATTTTCATGTCTTGAATAAAACCTGGGGAAATTGTTATTTATCTTTTGTGCAGTTTGAGGAACGCCCATGTATGAGAGATTATCCGCAAAAGAAATAAAATAAAACAAAAAAATCAATTTTAAATTCGATATGTGAAGGTTTTCTTTCTTGTATACAGAATTTCTTTAAAAATATATAATTCAAACTGATTATTACATCAATAAAACAAAAATTATAACAAAATTATTGTGTCAACACATCACACGCACTTTTCCCTTATTCTCAGTCTTGAGCTTTTATTCGCGCACAGCTTTTAATCTTCCACATGCGTTCTTTCTTCAATTTATAACCCAAACACGATGATTCACACGTGGTATAATCAAAATAAAAAAACATTTAAGTCACACACTCGGCACCCGCAGATATAATTTAAAACGCTTATTTTCCATTTGGAGAAAAGTTAACTAAACCATGTCAATTACCCACATAAACAATCATACAGTCGAAATGCACACACTATAATAATGTTACTTGTTCCTTTAATTTTAAATGAATAGAACATCTTAAACCCCCCAAAATAATAGAAAAAAATATATAGAAAATATAGATTATGATTTTTTATACATACTAAGTATATGAAATTTTAAATTTCCGCTTAAAAGGTTTTTCGTTATTTATTTATTACTTTTTTATGGTTGCTATCGATTGACATGGTAGATAGATTTAAACGGATTATACACTACGAAATTATCCGGAAATTAAATATTTACTTATTAAAAAAAATATGAGTTATGGGATTCCAATAATGATGCCGTTGACCAAGCCATCTTATTCATGTCTCCTGTAAAACCACAACTAGCCAAAGAAAATCTGAAATGTTCAAAAGAAATGTAAAAAAAATTTGCACTAAATTTCCAAGTAGGAGATCTGGTTTTCTTTTTATTATACAAATGTAAACAAAAATGGAACCCTTCCCCAAAATATTTACATAATCTATAATTACTAACCTTTTTAATTATTAATTTATAAAACAAAAGCAAGAAACAGAAACTATTTTTTTTAATACATTAGTAGTAATCATAGATTATACAAAACATGCCTTGCAATTAAAACAACAATAAGAATAGGAGATAGAACTTACCAGCTTGCAGCAGCAGCAGTTACGTTATTCTTCAATTTCCTTAGCTCTTTGGTAGCCCAGGTTGCCAAGGTTTTTGTGCGGCTAACGCGACTCTTTTTCCCATGTACCAACATTTCATTGATGGGATCCAAATCCAAGTAGTTCAGCATGGGTTCACCAAAAGCAGCACACAAATCTCCAACTAATCCTGCAGCAACGGCGATCGTACCTTCGGACCTTTCGGTATCCCGAGCAATACACATAATGAAATCAACCAAGTGTGGGATGTGTGATTCCAACATGCGTACATCAGGATGCGGTGTTGGTCCATCACCCTTGAGACCTTGAATGATGCCGGTATATGCATCCAAAATTCCTTCGCGCAATTCATTCAAATATTCAACCATTTCGTAATCGTTTCTGTCGACTTGCGCTTGAGATGCTTGGGCTAATGTTGTTAGAACCACATCCAAGTATTTCTTAAATTCGGATCCAATGCCCAATACAATGTCTCCAAAAACTGTCAAAATTTGAGGCTTAACAGAACGATGCACAGAGCTATCGCTTAAGTTCTCTAACAATAATTGCATAATCTCGTCGCAATATGGAAGTGCTTTTATTTTTAATGCTCTGAATATATCTCCAGTCAAGCCAACAGCAGTACCACACACCTGATATTCTTGGTGGTTTTTCAAGCCAATATATAGGAAAGGCTTGAATGCTTCCATGTACTTCATAAATCCTTCACTTAGAACTTCTACCAAAGTGGAAACAGCCATAAGAGCGTCTTCTTGTACGCCCCCCGACTTATTAGAATTAAACATGGTAAGCATAGCAGTCATAATGGCATCAGAAATTTGAGGAGCATCCTGCGGTGTAACTTTACGAAGAACCGATTGCAACGTTCCACACAGAAGAGACTGTAAATCGTTAAATTGAGAGCGATCTTTGTAACTGGCAATTTGTGTTTCCATCTGAAGCACTTGCTGCAGCCGCTCTAAAATAACCATGGTAGTGCGTTGAACAGTTATGTAACAATCTTTGGGTGAATTTTTGACCATCTCCATTAAAGCTTCGTAAGCTGCCGGCCTCAAATTGGCTTGGCCTCCATCAGCACGATCTGTTGTTTCCAATAAATTTTGAATAATGAACTCGAAATATTGAGATAGAACATAGGTGTCTGGTTGTCCTGTTTCCTCACTGATATCAGCTGCTTCATAAGCGGCTTCAGCTAATCCAGTAAAAGACCAGCAAACATTGGCTGCTACTCTAGGCTCAGTCTTAAGAGCGCGAATAAAACTTTCCAAAAGCGGTTTAAGGAAAGGTTCATTGATAGCCACTTCCGGTATGATTTCACAAATTCGCCCAAAAGTCCAAGCAGCTGTGTCACGAACAATAACGCTATTATCGTACATGAGTTCAATTAAAGTAGGCATAGCCTGCTCTACAAGAGGTTTTAATGTTGAACTTTCAAGACCACCCAAAATGGCACCAAATACCATCAAGGAGGCATCTCTGAACCGCCAGTTTTCGGATTTTATGTTTTCCTTTATAAATGGCAGAACATGTGGAACAATCTCATCCTCACAACATGTAGCCAAAAGCATTAAACAAACTCCAGCTGCTTTGCTTGGATTCCAATCATCATCATCGTCCAACTCATCTTGCTTTGTGAGTTTTTGTAAAAGTACTGGAATTATATACTGAAGAGCACCCTTGGCGTAATGTCTCGATACTCTCGCTGGTGGTCTTCCAGCATCTGCTGCTTCAGTATCCTCTATTGCCAAGTCGACTTCCTCGTCGCTTACATTTGACCAAAACTCAATACCTTGTAAAGCGATTGCATCGTTCTCAGACTTCATTGCCTCCAGGGTTATTGGAAACAGCGCCTGCGCCATATACGGTTCCATGTACTGATAATATAATGACAAGATTTTTACCAAGCACTGCAGAGCTGCAACTTTAATCTGAGCATCTGCTGACTGGGTGGCTTCACACACAACTTCCATAATGAAATTTCTTTCAGATTCTTTATCAAAATTTGCTTTAGTAAATTCAAGTGAATTGAGTAGAGCTTGAGTAGCAGCCAAACGAACATGATTGCTGGGTTCTGTACTCCTCATACCATGTATAATTGCAGTCAATATTTCATTAGACTGTGTAATAAGAACTTCAGAATCAATTTCTTGGCAGATGTATCCAATTGCTTCTAATGTAGCTTCTTTCTGCATTTCTGTAGAATTTGGCTGCACTACATTGGTGACTAATTGGCTCACTAAACCTTGCCATTGGCGATGTGGCAATTCTGTAACAGCAACATAAGCGACACATTGTGCAGCTGATGATGGTCGACTAGTCTCAGTACCCAAAGCACCAAGAATCTAAAAGTGTAAAAAAAATGTATTTTCATTCTGGCAAATTATAACTTTAGACTTACATTTTTTTTAATATATGTGCGAATTGCTTCTGGAAAACCAAGCCAGCGTTGTTGGTAATTTATCTTAATTATTGGATCTTTCGATGTCAATTGATTTTTGAGCTGAAGACCAGCAGCCATTCGAGCCACTGGACTATTACCACCATGTCTCAGGATATCAGAAAGAGTTTTAATGAATTCTGGTAAATTTGTTGAGGCAGCCTGTTCCAGAAAGCTAGATGCCTGTTCCAGCTCATTTTTATCTAAAATAATTCAAAATAGCAATTATTTGAATGACATGTTATAAAAAATTATTTAGATGATAGAATTAACCAAAGATAATTCATATTGGGCACTAGAGAGGTGTAGGTGATGTGATCATAATGAATGACATGACCTCCAAACGTGGAGGTACGATATGATATCGTGAAAACGGATGAAAATAAAAATTTACAAATAATTACATACTAAATTATTATAATCAAAATCCGTAGTACCATTTTATTAATAACAAGAGGAATATAAGGAAATAGTACACGATCGACAAAAATACAAATGGCAACCCATGACATTTGTATTGGGGAATAGAAAAGCATCTATACCTGGTGAAACTGTTTTCTCGAGGACCTGAATAAGCTGAAGCGTTTCCTGATGCATGGCTCGATAATTTTAGTTTTTTTCACCACCTATTCGCACGATTCAATTACCTCCTTTTCTTTAAATTCCTTCACTTTTAAATAATTAACCGGCGAACGAGTGAACACCACATGTAAGATGAATGAAACTAGCTGGAGACCTGTCTATTTTACTACGCCCACAAATGACAGGACGCGACCGGAAACGTTCATTTCACCGCCCTTTACATTATTTAAAGAAAAATGCTTCATAAATAAACTTGTAATTGCAGAAAACATAAACTAATTTTTCACAAGTATTACTTGCCACCGATGGTTATAAGATAAGTCACAAATAACAAATAAATCTCTTTGTACTATTTTACGACGCGTTACAACCGCTATAACCGTTGTGAAGCTTGAATTATGTATTGACTATTGGTACACAGATAGCGCTTGCAATAAATGGACCACTATATATAGACATATACTTTTTATTTTTTTTATTTAATAATAACAATATTTTTGATTGCTAATGAATCATATGCAAAAATAATATATTGCAATGAAACAGGTCGTGATATTTCAGTCGTCTTTAAGTCTGATATCCTGATATAGAATAATAAATAAATAGAATCATCACGCTATTACTTTGCACATTGCAGTAAAAATAATATAATTAATAATAAAATTTATTACAATAGCAAAATATAATTTTTTGCAAAGGACTATTGATCATAGGTATCTCTTCCGGCCCTATTTCTAGCCCTTTCAGGTTTAACAGCCACCACAAATTTTTGTTGGTTTTTGGGAATTGAACCAACGACCTTTTGTATCAGATTTTTCGTGGTGCGAAGATTTATTATTTTAGTATTTACATTTTGTCAGCTCAATTAGTTTCATACAACGCCTAGGGTCCCTAGATATGTGCCTCATTGCCTTAATGCAAGGATTCCAAACGGTGCCCCGCGAAAATTATGATATATTAACATAAAGTTCGCCCAGGGATAGAACAATGTTTTGACTTGGGGCGCCACGCAAAAATTCTGATATATCAAGGGCGCCGCAAACCAAAAAACCCCTGCCTTAATGAATAATCTGCCACTGTATACATATAAGTTTAATAATTATTTTATTTTTTCGTACACAGATCTAAATTTTGGAAACTTTTGGTTAAGTAGCACAATATTTCCAGGAGTTTCTCGGTTCCCTGTCCAGGGATCTCCCGCATTTGTATATTCAGTAATTGTTTCTTGTTGGTGTAATGTTCCTTAATTTGTGAATGGCAATTAACGTCTACAGGACGTGTTAAGTGTAGCTAGGTACTAACAAGTGGGAAGTGTCTCATATTTTTAATAAAAAATAGCATAACATTTACGAAATAGGAATATTAATAATATTAGAAGAAAATAATAAATAACATAACTTATTGAATATCATTCATATTTACAATCATTTGACCACCATTTATTAGCTATTTCTAAAAAACAGAATATTTAAAAATAGATATCAAGTATAGTTTTTTTTTATAAAAAGAGATTTATATCAATGTATTTAAAGTATAGGTTTATATATACTTCTTCTGCCTGGAGGCTTGCACCATCTATGCACATGCACATCTATGATACACTTAGCCCATGCCGGTTGCATCGACATAAATCGTGTTAAATATTAAAGATCGAAAAAATAGCATTGGCAACCAAACATTCAACCTACTAGTAAAACAGGATGCATATATAAACAAATAATTAAAATCTAGTATCCTGCTTTGATCTAATATTGTAACATGTAACAATAGCTAATATTAAATCCAAGATTGTTATGTATTACTTTGAATTTATAAGTTATTATACTTTTTTTTTGAAATCATATTAATTGCAAAAATGTCAGTGGTGCCACCATCTATCGCCGCGAGTTATCAGTTCAGTAGAAGTTTCAGGTAGGAGAGATGCGTCTGTAAAAGTGCTGCACGTGTGCGTTGCGATTTGTGTGTTTCTCTCGAGTTCTTTTCCAATCGTCGAATAAATTGCGTGTTTTTTGTGCGTGGGTGGAAGAGTTGTGGTCAAAGAGTGATACGAAATGGTTCAGGTAAGGAAATCGCGTCTATTCCTTCTGTTTACATGTCTCAACCACGTTGTCATCTCGTTAAAATTTGCGAGAGGAAAAATCCAAGTCGCCCTCTTTCATCACTGATTTTTTCCGTACCGACCGCCCGCCTCCCCCTCGTACCATACCTACAACCCCATTCTTTCGATCATATAATAAAAAAGATGGCTGAACAGATTTTTATGCCCTTCAAATCATATTTTTTTTTACGTACATTTCCTATTTTGAAAAACTCGTTGATTCCTTAATGAAAAACTCTATGGAATTGATCAAAACGTATATTTTATACATAAATATTACATTGTTTACCATTTACCTTGAGATTTATCTGCTTTCATGTATCGTTTAGCATCAATATTACTAATTATTGAAAGTTGATTGAAAGTTAACCAACTAATATTCATATCTAAATACTTATATTTATAAACTTGTTTTCAAGGCATTTTGTAATATTTAAGAAAATATTTTTTATTAGAACCATTAACTAAGTTATTTACAAAAAATATAGTTTCTCACATAAAAGTAAATTAAACATTTTATTTATATAAATATTTCAAAACATGGTATTAGTATTAATTAATGTATGTAGTCTCTTATATACATAATATATTATCAGTTGGTATTAATTTTTATTTATTTATAAAACTTGAATGCCTCTAATTACCTTATATCTTTTCAAGACTTTCTGTATGTTTTATTTATACTACACATTGCAACTATGTATGTTCCTTTTGGTTGTTTAATTAATAATATCAAATACGGTATTATGTAAATTATATGTTTAAGTTATTTGAAAATCTTTATTACTTTATATTGTCCTGGTGCAAAGGGTAACAATAATGGCTGTGTATAGAAATAGCCCAAATATGCCACATAAAATATTGAGATATATCATATATACAAAAAAAAAAACAAGTTTTCTTTGGAACTTAATATAAACAAAAGAGAAGAAGGCGCGCTTACAGATAAGTTCAATTGAATGTTAGGCAATAAATATAATTACGTAAATATTAGTAAGCTGATAGATCTTTACGAATTTGTATATCAGCGTACATGTTTGCAAAACACATTCTCATATATGTACATTTCAAATCAAAATTTCCTCAATCTACATGCTTCTCAATTTATTTCAAATTATATCATGTTTTGTTTTTATAAATTTAATATTGAACTATGCAGACTAGCGCATATTAAAAATATTTTTGTCATTTATGACTAACGTTTTTTAATTTTCAGTTATTATATAATACGATAATCTGTATTTAAAAGGACTTTTTAAATGATATTGTATTGAAAATAGTATTATTTTAATAGAGACGTTTAATAATATAAAATAATTACATCAATATATTTGAGACACAATGCATGTAGTATTTTTTTACATTTGAATTATGAATATTTCCATATTTAGTTCAGTGGGACTATTGTATTTTATAATGTATATATTTTCCGGAAATGTATAGATTTGCTTAAAACTGTATCCACATTATCCGGAAAATGTACAACGTAACGTAATTTCATTGCTTTGGAGAATGTGAAATTAATATGGGAAAATGAACTAGTATATCCTTAGAATCTACCTAAAAAATAATAAGGCACAAACTGATTTTTATTATACGTTATAAATATTTATTACGTTTTTAAGAGAGAATATAATAATACTATCTTCCAAAAAGACGAAAGTCATTTTATACATTATAACTTATGGTTGCGTTCACACATTCACATCAACTAGCAACGTTCAAAGTGAGTACAAAGTACTTTTTCGTCATTTCCAATGGCAAATGTATATTGAATGTACACATAATGTACATAATGTTTACCTTTTTTTAATATGTACTGTAACACAGGTGTCCCTAAACTACTCTGAACACTTGGGGCACCGATTCTTATATATTAAGTGCGCCGCAAACCGAAAAACTTTGGGAACTCCTGCCATAACATACATCACTTTACTAATATTTTAATATGTTTATACGTATTTGGCACATACTATGTATTTTTTTGTTATGATTTTATAGGCACCAGATATGGAAGTGGCCCATCCAGACTTGCCACAAGCTCTAGCTTTGCTGGGAGAGATGAATGTAAGTGCCCAGCACGTGGCAACTCTCGTTGACAACATGCTGCAGAGGGTACGCAATGGCGAGTTGAGTACGGACCAGGGTCTCAGTTTCCTGGAGATGAAATACAACATGCTTCTCAGCTATTTGATAAATCTCACATTTGTCGTGCTTCGAAAGTGCTCGGGAGAAACGATCGAGGGTGATCCTTGTATTAGCCGGCTAGTAGAAATCCGTACAGTATTGGAGAAGATTCGTCCGATCGATAACAAACTCAAATATCAAATTAATAAACTCGTGAAGACTGCGGCTTCCGGTAATAAGCTCGACGATCCGACGACATTTAAAGCTAACCCTGACGACTTGATGAGCGGCGGCGAAAGCTCCGAAGATGAAAGCGAAACAGAAGATAGCAAGGCCAAAGCGAAGGAAGGAATCTATATACCGCCAAAACTATCTGCAGTTCATTATACTGGTATGTTTATTTATGTTTATTTTGAACAATGGCACTTGTTTTAAATAATTTCCATCGAGTTTATAGTAAATTCATAGTTTCCAATTACTTTCGATATTTCGAGAGTTATGCTATCCCTGTGGCCCAATTGGCAATACTTTTAGTTGCATTATTTGAATATATTGTGTAAAAATAATAATATAAAGGATATAAAAAAAAATCAACATCATTTATGAAAGTTTAGTTGATTGAAATGATGCATAATTACTGTATGTGAAAATATTAAATTATTAGTAATTTTTTTTCAGGAGATGAAAGTGTACAAGAAAGGAACAAACGTATACAAGAGCGCAGCAAGAAACATGCACTTTCCTCTACAATTATGGACGAACTTCGGGAGGAATATTTGGATAATCCTACAGAAATGACACAAGGAACTCAAATGCAAAAGATCATGGACAAGAGAGTTAAAGAGCAGACTGACTTCGAAGAAGAATACTTTGTCAGGCTTCCTCAACCTAAAAGCGACAGAACGTTGAAGAAAAGAGTAACGACAATTAGTTCATTAACGAATGAGATATTAGATTTTGGTGATGGTGGCGGTGGGGTAGCCAAAAAACGTAAGGCTTTTAAATCTAAGGGCAAACCAAATAAAAGGAAACGCATCCAATGATTTTCTACTATGACAAAAGTAATCTTCAAAATAAAAAAAAAGAACAAGCAAACACAAAGTTCAGTAGATGTACATATATATTATTAATATTTAAACAGAAAAAAAGTGAATGAAATAATAGTCTGTGATGCTTTAATAATAAGCACAGATTGTATATTGAAAAAGTTTTTTTTTCGAAAAGAGCTTAAAACCCCAGTTGCCTATTAAAAAAAGGAAGAGAGGTGGCAGTTAAACAGTTAATTTTTGAGTTTATGTATATGGTATTTTGCTTTAAAATGAAAGAAAATAACAATGTGGGGCATTTTAAATTGTTGCAGCTATACAAGTACATTCTACTCATCTGAAGTTTAACAACACTGATGAAAACATCGTTGTGCTGTGCCTTCTACATTTGTATAATTTTGTTTAAATATTGAGCTGCAGGTAATGTAGGTTGCCTATTTCTTTTCGAAGTTGTCTAAAAGGGTAACGTGTAATCATTACCAAATTAATGATAGATGTTTAGGCTAAATATTTCTAAATTCTAACAAGTTTTAGAATATCTTTTTTTTTCAATAAAATTTTAATTAAATATGAGGATGTGCAGGTCAAGTAACCTGTTTAACAATATATTGTAACTTTTAAGTGTCGGGACGAAGGTTGGTAACAAGTTTGAAGATATTCAAAGAATCAATGTCCGTTAAATTATTGTAGATTTCAAAATACAGTGGTACATTAGACATTGAGATCAGAAACTTATTTTTTATTTATTTTACAAGATATGCAGCTATTGATCCAGACAAGAGGCTGGCTGATTTCTTTGAGCTTGCTGTGTGATGTAATTTTTTTTAAATACATCCATTTGCCATAGACGGCTTTGTTGGAAGCACAGTGAGCATTATCTCGTAATTTGTACAATCAACTCTCCCGATAAACATATTTTCTTAAAGGAGTTTGTAAACCAACATTACGTGTAGTATATATATTTTTAAATTTATTTATATTTTATGAAATGGCGAAATTCAAAATTATGAAAGAAAAAAATATTAATCGTAGTTGAGTGAACTAGTTGATCGTAGTTTATATTATCTTCTTGTGTTTTGTCGTTGTTATACTCGTAGGAACATACAATCTTTGGCTATATATACTCTCGTGCATTTTTTCGGATCATTATGATTTCAGTAACTTTATTATTTTCGTTTTCATGGTTTTATTATGAAATCATTGTTCTTAATTTCTTTTTAAAATGATGATATGAATGTGAATGAAAGATGAATATTGCGTGAAATCTATAGACTGAAGATATTTTTACATATATATATAAAAGAAGAAAAAAATATATATTTATATTTTGGGTTTTGTTTCTAAATTCTCGTGTCGTCGCTGTGTTTCATTCTCGATATCGTTTATTTGGTTTATTTAGAAATAATACTCACCCCAATTGCCTTCTTTAATATAATATGAATATTAAAAAAGTTTACCCAATTTTTCAAAGTAAAACAAATGAAAAGAATCCTGTTATTAAATATTGTTATTGCTGTCGCAAAGTGTATTTTAATTTTTAACCGAAAGAATTTTTACGTTTGTTTATTTTTTCTTTGTTTTATTTTTTTCGTGATTTGTTTTATTAGGTATAGATTAATGATATAAAAATTAAGTAGTTTCGGAAACAAATGTATTCAGTAGCTGGTTGTTTAAATTTTTGCAAATGAAAAAAAAACATTAAAATGGATTTAGATGTGTTTATATTTATTAGGGGATGCTACTGAAGAAAAAAATGTGAAAAATTATACTATTGTGGAGCTCAAATTTAATGTTTTAAGAATCTAGTTGTTAATTTGTGTTTATGTTTTATTATTTCTTCATATTATTTTTATTCCAATATCTTCCTTTATTATTATATTCATTCAGCTTTAATTTTTAAAAATAATAAATAATCCTTTGTAAAAAACAAGATAATATACTTTTATCTCCTTTTGTTTTCATCCAATGGCACGGTACCATCCTGATAATGTCCTTTGCAAAAATCATAAGAGTTGAATCTGTGCGCTTTGTGTTTCTGTAGCAACTTTATAGTTTCTATACAATCCTCGTCGTAAAACTTTTTCATACTACTAGTTGGATCTTCCTTCTTTACTTTTCTAGTCTCCATGAATGGTCTTTTGGGGATTGATATCTAAAGAACAATATGATACATTAAAAGGGCTCTTATAAATTGTGATTTTTTTTAGAGTTTAGAATTTGGTGTTATTATGCTAGTAAGTTTGACAATTATCTTTACTCTGTGCATTTTGTATGGATAGGATGTTTTATAGCTTTTCTGCATCGTCGAGACGTAATTATCAGCGCAAACGGTCGGAAACATAGAGTAATTGGGGGCATCGCATGAAGTCGTGCTAAAAATCCATCGTAATTATTAATTGTAACAGCAAATTCAGTAAGCAATTAACTCTTTGAAGCTGAAATAATTAATAACTTTCTTATCTGGACTCCTGTTGATGTAATTGTCTTTGAGCTCTAATTGTCGCATCATATCACTCATCTCAGTTGCGTAGCATATGCACTTTTCCTGTCCCAGGTGATCGTAATGGGATGCATTTAGATCAGGATGATATTTGCAGTAGGGGTTGTTATCTATTGGTAAGGACTCGTAGAAATGATGCCAGTCGCTGTTTTTCACTATCGGATGGTATCGATTTTTCGTGTACATAAGTCTTTTGTTGAGCGTTCGGTCCACGGGGGGCTTATAGGCTTCCAGCTGTATTGATTATTTTTATTAATTTAAGTTAGATGTTAGTAAAATAACATTACATGAAATGGTGGAGCCATAATTTGAGAAAATCTAAATATTACTTGTCAAAATGATTGAAGTATAACATATAAGATATTTTGTTTTTTAGGAGTTTTGTGTATATAAATACAACTATTAAAAACGAGTTACTTTAAAAATGTTTCACTTTATTAGGAATAAAATACTAACAAAAAAAACACATTATTTTTCCTTTTTTTCCGTTAACAATGAATTGTGCAATTTCATAACAGTGTTTTCCACCAACTCATGAACAACACTACCATTAGCATCAATATAATTTGCAACACTCTTTTTAATACTAGTCTCTCGAACATGTTTTCCTTCCTTTAATGTAAGTAATAAATTGTATTTATCATCATACCTAAAACATAAAATATTGCATAAAGTAAATCAAAGGATGTTATCTTATTAGTTACCTTTTTAAATAAGAACTAGCTTCCCAAACATAATTTTTAGCTCCAGTCTTTTGCATAGCTACTGCAAATATTCCTTTTTCTTTATAGGTTGTGTAAAGAGTCAGTATACCCATAAGCACAAAGTATGTGGCCACACAGCAAATCAAAATTGGCCTAGAAATTCAGAGGTAATTACAGAATGTTTGAAAAAAATATTTATGAGTATACTTAGATACTGGGAATGGATAAAGGAAATCCCAAATCAGAGCAAAAGTTGCAACTCCAACAGCTATGCCACAGATGACCAATCGGCCATCCATCAAATTGTAATTTTCTACATATTCATACTTGCTAATCAATACCTAAAATTATATGATTACAAGAAAATACATGTATAGTAGATTACTTTACTTACATCTTTGACAGCATCATCGAGAGCATTTTTAACAGCAGATCCATCCCATTTGTTAATCTTTACTGGCTAAAGAATATTAAGTTATAGGTTATTTAAAAAAATAATTACTCTATGAGTTATACTATATAATCTTAAAATAAGCTTACTTTATCATCGTCCTTTTTGTTTTGCTCCTTTGGTGCCATTTTTACTCAAGAAATTTTCCAATTTGAAGAATCTTGCCGTAAAAAGCTGTTTTGACACTTGCCGACACGTCAGTTTGCATCAGTTAGGAATGGTTAGGAATTCAATCCATGTCAACATTAAGTGCTACCAACCTAAATATTGAAGACTAACATACAAAAATATTTTTTTTTTATTAAATTTATTATTCACAATATACAAAAATATGAAATAATTAAATCAACAAAATTTGTTTGGGCTATTAAACACGAAAAGAGGTAGAAATTGAGATTTATATCAATAATAAATTTATATAAATCTCAATAATAAATTGATATATTTTTTTTTTTTTTAAATAGAGATTTATATCAATTTATTTATTGATATAAATCTCTCCGGCCCTATTTCTACCCCTTTCGGGTTTAACAGCCACCACAAATTTTATATATGTTTACTGATCTAATTTTATAACAAGTAAAAATTTGGGTTAATTGGAGGTTGGGGGCCAGTGTCAGCAAAGGGCCCCCAAATAGTGTTAACTCAGTTAACTCTTTGAGATGCGGTGGTACACCCAATGTACCACGTTTTGAACATGCCTAGTGGGGCATTATTATAATTTTCTAGGAAATGTTCACGTATTTGTCTGATTCAGTTGTGTAGAAATTTGTTGGGTCTAGAAATTTAAGAATTTCTGGCTCTTCAAAGAGTTAATGGCCATTCGCATATTGCGGATAATCAGTTCCGCCAATATCCAGGACTGTTTTAAACGGCATAAAAAAAGTCTTGACTGTTTAAAGAAAAAAAACGATCATTAATACCTACAAAAATAATTGTATGGGATTATATTTTTTCTATTAAAATTTAGTTTTTTTTTTAAATTTTTAAACCGGACTATAGTAAATCTCGACTGGTCGAAGCCACATCATAGGACGTATTGCTGTATGTTATTAAACAGTTTCTGATAACTATTGTTGTGAAAGTATACTTTGTATCTATAGACGACATGCATAGAATTGTTTTGATGCGAGAGTTTCTTTCCAAAGATCCACCTGAACCGTGTGTACGGTTAACGTGGTAGAGGGTACCATCATGCATAAAGATAAGTGGTTTTGGTTATCCATGACCTACCAAGCGAAACACCCTCGCATTAAGTGAAGGAAACAATTAAATTAACTTTTATACTCGTTGTACATATTTTTTTTTAAACTCATCATTCAAAATGCTAAAATAACACGGAATACACAATATCTGTGAATATTTCAATATTCCAAGTTTTGTTTTCTGGAAATAAACTAAAATAAATAAAATGTTTACATTTAGATTACTATATATTTGAATGTATTAAAAAATTACATCTATGGTTATTTATGCTCCACTTCACCTGTAGTTTAAAAAAAATGCTCCATCAGTAAAGAGAAACTTAACGTATCAAAGTTGTGTTGAAATTGTCGTAGGAAACAATTTATATTTATTTGGTTTACTTACTACCATCCAAATCAATACATCAAAAATTGTTATTGAACAGAACACAACAGGAGAAAACATGATATAGGAAAATAAATTTAAAATATATAAATTATAAAATATATTATACAACTAAATATTCATAAGAATTATAAACAGTAGATCCGCTTTATATGATAACCGAATAGTCAAAAATTATGTTTTTATTTAATTTAAAAAAAACACATTTTGAAATTTATTTTATACATTTTTATAGAATTTGTTCTGTTTTGATATGTCATGTCTGTGCTGGTGCGTTCTGTTTGGTTCGTTCACCGTTCTGACTCGCGGTATAAACGAATTGTCTAAATTTATTAATGTTTATACATTTTTATAAAATATAAATAAAAATCCAGATGTGTTCTGTTTTGACATGGAACGCTTATTGATATACCAATAATCAACTTCATATAAATCATACCAAGAATAGAAATTTAATGGTTTTGATAAATTGATATTTGTTGCCAATGTTCGTAATTGTTTAAATATATTACTTTATAAATTAGGAAATTTCAAGAATTTTTTCGCATAACGAGTGACGATGAGAAGTCCCGGATTGCCCACCTGTACACATATGTACAATTTAAACTAGTTTAATATATGGTAAATAGTCTCTATTCTAACAATTGTACATAAAATCCAGTTATAAAATTTTACGTAATTATGATAAATTTATATTTATTCTTATGAAATTTTGCAGAACTGATTGCATTTTAATGGTTCTAAAAATAGTTCTAAAATTTCTAAAAAATCATAATATATAAGTGAATGTTAAATCTAGTGTCGTGTCCCAGGGATGGAATTCTGGACACAGTGGAATATTGTCTGGTGTTGTCGTTGTGGAGTCTCAGTAGTTGGGAATTAAATAATTCAATTGGTTTAAAAAGTTTATTGTTACTCTTGGGGTCCTTTCCAAGACAATGTAGTTACT